TAAGGATTTAATTTTTTTTGGATTCAGATGAAAAACAAGGGAACTGAAGAGGATGTCGTAAGCTCACAGGAGTCAGAATTTCCTATCAGTTGCTTATATGAATTTAGTACCCAATTTAGGCCTTTTGTTCATTTTTTTAACTAACTGTAATTCATATAATGTTATATAAAATTTACAAAATGAAGACGCCATAAGAAGTTAATATCACTCAGTGATAATTATCAAATCACTCAGTGATTTTAGGACATCATTGAAGATTTAAATCATCGGAGGAAATACGTGGAAAACTTACCGGAAACTATCAATGAAACAAATAATTCTAACGTTATAAGCACATCATTTAAAATTTTGATCGATATGGTGAATTATTAAATCAAAAAGGAAAGAATACAAACAATTCGTCAAAACATTAAGAGGCCTAGGACTTGAATGATTAACGAAGTTGCATATAATATATAACAAATGAATTTGCAGAACGGCAATGAGCTTCTTCTGAGCATTGAAGACAAATGGTTTAGGAAAATAAAATGGAACAAAGTGAATTTAAATTATATAAGAAATACCATTTATAATCAAAAGGATATTTAGGTTTCAAAAAAATACCTTTAATATTTTCATCACAATTTACGGTGTGCAGGATTCCCCTGAAGCAGTTTGAGGTTGAATTCTGTTTTATCCAATATGGCGAGAAAAACCCTGCTTTTTGTAAAACCAGACCTGGAAGCAGCAGGCAACAGAGACAACGTATCGATGCAGAAGAATAAGATCTCATGTTTAATGCAGGGATTGAACAAGGATGGTTTCTGTGTGAGGTGGGTTTTCTCTGCTTTTGGTTTGAATTGCAAAGAAATTGATGTGTAACTACATTTTGTGATTTATTGATGTGATATTAATTGCATTTTAAACATGATTATCCTTCCGCATTATTGTTCGATTATTTAAAATTGAAAAAAAGAGATTTTTTAGTTTCCTTCTTTGATGAAATTTAACAAAGATTTAAACCTCTCTTTTTGTCTGATAAACAAGATCTCAGCTAAATATTTAATAACCTTAGTACATAGGGTTCTTGATTCTTAAGCATTGCTAGACATTAGGTGCTTGAGAACAGGAATCCCCCCTTTCGATATAGACCCGTGGGCTTTTTCGTCTTTTTGCTCATAAAGAATCTTTCATTTGTAATAAGATTTATACCAACATTCTATATATAAAAATCAACAAGGTTGCCAACTTCGTTAAAAGCTTACTGAACGGACTGAACGGAAGTAATAATGAGAGGACTAATGTTACCCCTTATAACCAAATATGCGTAACAATAGAAATATGCTTGTTTTTTTTTAACGAGTTCTTCGTCTGAATTATATTTTTAAACCTTTAGTAGATTTTACACGAAATATTTAAGGATAAAAAGGTATTTTAATAAATTGCATTTTTGAAGCGGCATTACTCTCAAAACGATACATGCAAATCGGGTATTTGAAAATAATTAGAAACATTTTATTTACATCAGCGGTTTAGAACTCTATTCTTCCTTCTTTCTTCTTACATTTGAAAGACATTTTTTAAAGTATATATTAACCATTTCTTTAAATGATTGTTTCAAAACAGTGTCTCAGACTTTCTGCAGAACTGTGTATTTCGGTAAAAAGTCGTTTCCTTGTCACTTCTGTTCATTAAGCTTTGATCCGGTTAAAAACGCTAACATCCTTGTGGAAAACTGGCCATAACGACTGCTGAAGTGCCTTAACCTTCATGAGAGTTGGTGGGTAATGAAAAGAACACCAATCAACAATATGAGTTGTTGATTTTAGGGCTTTGTTTAGATTTATGAGACGATTCAACCTATATTCTCGGCTGTGCCTCTCGGTTTGCAGACGAAGTTAGTTGGCAACCTTGTTAATTTATATATAGAAAGTAGGGTAGAATTTTTTTTATAAAATGTTAGTTTCAGGAAATTTTCTGAATTGATAGGATATATCATATCACAAAATGTGTCATCCATATATAATTTACGTGAAAAAAGTTAAACAGGCCCTGGTGTCTGTATTGGGGGGGGGGGGGGTTCTGTCCGCAAGCATCTGTGTGTTAGACTTGAAATAAAGTTGATGGTTGGAATATTTTGTGTCAAAAAAAAGGAATAGGATCCTTCATGTTGTTTGAAAAGACACTTTATTATTGTTAAATGAACTTTGTAAAAAAAAAAGAGACTAAAATACAAAAATGCACGAGCATTTAACACAAAGTAAGCTCCATACATACAGTGTACCTGTAATATTTCAAACTCGGTCAGTAGAGCGCTCGCTCTGTTATTGGGAGGTCATTAGTTCGAATCTCGGCCGCGACTGACCTTACTCGATAAAAGTGGGTAACAAATGTTCCTTCGTCATACGCTCGGCACTTTGAAGTGAAAGTTGCGGGTCTTTCAGATGAGACTTTAAAAAAAAACAAGGTCCCATGTTACGGCACGCATGTGCACAATTAAGATCATTCACTGCTCAATGTCCCTAAGTGCCGAGTTAAGATAAAAACGAAGTTCTTCACCGGTATATGGTGAGGTTTCTATATGAGTAAAAAATTCTCGAATGGGACGTAAAACAACATACAATCAGTAAATATCCCTTTTATCTTCATCACTGCTACATGTATAAGGTAATTGATCACTTGATATTTTCTTATTCATTAAAAAAATATGTCATATTATTGGTCTTTATTACTCTGTTACATGTTTCTATAGTTAAAAAGTTGCACTCACATGAACACCGATGTTGCCTTCTAATGACATCATAGTCTTTGCACAACCATGGACTTGAAATTAATATGAATGTATATTTTGTCTTATCCTTTATTTTGCTTTTTTATATAATATTAGAACAGGAAATAAAGTTTTTGTTTTGCGAAGCGAAGGCAAGCATAATTCTGCTGATCATGTTCCAACGTACGAATCAATACAAAACTATTTCTTGGCTTTACTTTCGCGAAAAAATACCTGATCTAATGATGCTTTGAAAATTGCGGGGAGCCAGTTATAAAGGAAATAATTCCCGTCATCTCAAATGTATGGGGAAGACGCAGACTTATTTTTATATTCATATGAAGCAGAATTGCAAAATCTTATGCGTGAACAGAATAAAACACTTGCTGTGGCCTGCAACTCGACATTTAGATATATCGACGACGTATTGTCAATTAATAATGATAATTTCCATTCCTACGTCGACACGATATATCCTGGTGAGCTTGAGATAAAAGATACCACAGAGTCCGACACTTCTGCTTCAAACTTTGGATATTTTACTTGAAAAAGACACTAATGGTAATCTAACAACCAAGCTATATGATAAACGTGATGACTTTAACTTTTCTATCGTCAACTTCCCTTACTTATGCAGCAATATACCTTCATCACCTGCATACGGAATATATATATCTCAGTTGATTCGATACGCAAGAGCATGCTCTACGTATGAACAATTTCTTAAACGAGGTAAATTATTGACAAGCAAGTTGATGCAACAAGAATATCAACAGTCTCGTTTTAAGTCATCATTTCGTAAATTCTATGGTCGATACAATGACCTTGTCAGCAAATACAATTTATCATTGAATGAAATGCTGACTGACGTTTTTCATACCAATTGTTAGTCGATTATTTATACACTGAATTGACGACGGATTTTTTCCGTTATATCCTGATTATGACAACGAGCACATGGCGGGTGTGACCGGTCGGCAGGGGATGCTCACTCCTCCATGGCACCTGATCCCAATTCTGATGTTTCAGAGGTCCGTGTTTGCTCTGCTCTTATTTTGTATATTGTTTAATGGACGTTGAGATAGAATACTGTTCGTTATTTCCATATCCTTCATATAAATTATTATGTTGTCATTAACATTAATATTGATGTAAAAAATACTGACAGACAGACAAAGTATTTTTGAAAAACTGCTAGTTTGAAGATAACGAGTGCAGTTTCAATGATTTTTCAAGGCATGCCTAAAATACATGTACATATTAGCATTTAATCCTAGTGTTAACCGAACAGATCAGTTTACCCTGATGTAGAACCAGTTTCTACTGAATATTCAAGTATATCATATTTAACTAAGTATTGATTTTCATACGGTCAAGACTAAATCATTCCTGGTAAAATCCGTTTTACTGTTGATTTTATTGCTAAAGGTTCATTCGTCAAAGTTACCACAGTGTACCTGCAGGTTAACTTCTATTGATTTCTATTCAGCTGATTTGCATTTAACATTAGATATAATGATAAGTTATAATGGATGAAAATACTCCCACGTATTTTTTTTTTAGATAAGGCCATCTTTAAAAAAAAATTGTTTGCCTTCTCCGTCAGACTTGTGAAAATTGCTTGACTAAAAAAAATCAACTCAGAAGAAGCAGTTCTATTCAGGCATTATGAAAACTCGGCGTCAGAAATGAAATATTTCGGGGGGAAATTGTTTTCTCCGGTTTACAAACCCAATTGTTCCTCAGTCGGGAGAGGAAAACAAACCTTTTAAAGTTGGTCTATTGAAGCCTTTCCTTTGATATCGTCATTTTAATTCATCATTCGCAAGTTCTTTGGTTGCTACAATGAACTTGTAAGCGTATACAATTTATTTTTGAGTCAAATGCTGACACAAAAGTAGATATAATAACAACAAAGTTTATTTTTTAATTAAAATTGTGTTAAGTCAATATGTATTGTTAAGCTATTATTTACACACTTATTATTTTCCAGATCTAGACAAGAGGTAAAAACGGCGTGTGTGACCGGTCAGCAGGGGATGCTAACACCTCCATGACACTTGATCCCTCTTTTAATGTTTTGGAAATCTGTGTTTGCTGCGCTCCAATGAACTTTCAAGGGTGAATACTGTTTGCTATCTCCATGCCTTTCAAATTACATTTTAATAAATTACGCTTTGGGAAATAAAATTCTTCTCAACACTACATATTCAAAAATGATTTTTATTTTTGCATAAAATAGTTGTAGTTTTATGTAAATAATTATAGCTAACAAACAAAACAATTTAAGTTATTCATGAACAGATGGTCGAATTTATTGAGTATTTCTGTTTTTACATTTTTCGTTGTAATTAAGAGTTTGAATCGACATTCTTGCAACAACAACCATACATATTTTCTTTTTTCATCCTCTCGATTTAATTTCACTTACAGAATGGTACTATGAAAATCAACAGGGCATGTTCTTAAAATTTGAAACATTTTTAAGTAAAAATATTTTTATCACATACAAGCAAAAACTATAATCAAGGAACAATCAAATCGTAAAGCTATTTAGCATAACAATTGAACTCGAATATAGACTCAGTTTTAGGTTCAGTTAAGTAGGGCAGACGTAGATGCATCAATTTCCTTCTTTTTACATACTCTTATAAAGATTAGCACCACATAACCAGATCCCGCCATACTGACATAGAGTCCCCAACCTTTATCATTGTCGTTATAACCATCAAAAACAAAAGCAGATCCTAGGAAGCCAATGAATCCTGCAAATCAATGAAGTGCAAAAATGTCATAAATTGTCTCCGATTAGAAAGTGTGTGATAAATGTGTAAATTGCAATTCGAATATGAGCAAATTAATCTTACCAATAACTGTATTGTTAAATTGTGATATCTGAAAAAAATTATCCCTTAAAATACCCTAAACTTTGTATTGCTTATCATGTACATTATCTTGAGGCCTTGGGAGCCGCTTGATTATTAATTCATCAACCTGAGAGCTCCAGTGTGGGTAAACAAATTGCCCGATAAGTTAAGTTTAAATTAAAAACAACAATAGCAAGTATTTATGGAAATTATATTGTATGTATTTTGGAGGGGCGGTGGGTATTGTTAGATTTACAAGTCAGTTAATTCAAATGCAATATTAATATCTATATATTAAAAAAATACATATTTACTGAAGTTCATGGAGTTGGTATTTTAGTTGTAACTGACTTTATTTAATGTATTTAATTTTCCTTTCTCAATAAAACAATTACACTACATTCGCGTAAAATTTAAACAAATTTAAAAAAAAAGTTTCTTATCTATCGGTTTATCGGCGCAATAGAAAATTTCTCATTAAAATTCATTTCTTGTACCTCAGTTTCGTACAATACAGGGGGGGGGGGGGATAAAAACTTTTTAAAGCCTATTATGAATTTTGACTTTGAAATATCATAACTTGAATGGCATTGGCAATCCTAGACGTAATTGCAAGAGTGTATAACTAGTCATCTTTGTCATAATAGTAAATCAAAATTTGAAAGTTTTTACTAAGCCAATCAAAGTTTCAAACTTTTCACAAAAGTTAATTAAAGTTTTAACTTAATTAATTAAAGTTTAAAAGTTTTCACTTTAATAAATCAGGGTGTCATAGGACAAATTTACTACAGTAACTCAAAGTTTCAAAGTTTCTGCTTAAGTAAATCAAAATAATTAATTTTTAAAATAGCAAATCAAAGTTACAAAGTTTTCATTAGAGTAAATAAAATCTTCAATTTTTATTTACATTAATACTATAGTTAACTATAGTAAACTATATCTAAGAATTGTTTTCTATTGTTATTATCTACAGTTAGCAATGGTTTACTATAGTTCTTTTGTTAGGATACTTTCACTGATCATGCACTTGATACTTTCTTTCTTAAAATGATACAATATACAATGATGATATTTGCCATGACTGTCAGCAGAAACATAGTTCATTCATTAATTTAATTGGTTTTTGTTTTGATTGTTTTGTTAGTAAATTTTGTTTAAATTAAGTTTCGATTCTTTTACCCTTAATTAACCTTTCTAAAAAGGTGTTTAACACACATATCAACAGCACCATTTGAAATTACAATCCTGCATAAAATAATATTATATAAAGAATAAAACTAAAAGAAGTTGTGTATGATCAAAGCATTCATACCTGCAACAAAATAAAGCATTGTCAAACAGATTCCAAATTTTACACAGCATTTCTTTTCATTCCCATTATGTTCTAATTCGCCCTCCATGCAGCAAATGCTACACATGCTGACAAGTACTGTAAGAGCCATAAGGAATAGACCAGTAGCCTCAAGTCCTAAAATGGTGTCACCTAGTCCTGAAAAATTATGGCGGAAATTGGTTTTTATTTCTCTGAAAATATTATGAGTAATACCATATACTTGAAAGTTTACACATTTAAAGAAATCAGTTCTTTTAAATGTTCTCCCTGAATAATGCATATTTATTCGGCAATATATACATGTACATCTATATATCTGGACTTTTGAGCTCGAATACTGTTCGTTATCTCTACATATTTCATACATTAATAACCTAGGACATGAAAGTCTACGTAAAGAATTTCTTGTCTAGATATCCATGAAGCATTTAAGCATAAAATCATGTAGCTGTGTTACAACGCGAAATGTAATAACAACGCAAAATGTAATCAACCTGGAAAATTACATTTTGCGTTATTACATTTTGCGTCGTAATCAACGCAGAATGTTATAACGCGAAATGTAACAACTCACTTTTGAGGATTATTACATTTCGCGTTATTACATTTTGCGTCGAGATCAACGCAAAATGTAATAACGCAAAATGTAATAACACGATTTTTGGATTATTACATTTTGCGTTGTTACATTTTGCGTCGATGAGATTAAGCAAAAGGCAGAAACGCAAAATGTAATAACACACTTTTTTCGCCAGCCAGATTGAGTACAATTTTCAATAGTGTAGTGGCTGATGAAAAGAAAAAAAACAACAGGAAAAAAGTAGATATATGCCATTTCTTACAATTAATGAATTTTATAATATATTGATTTTATTATCTACATGTATTTAAAATCAGTTTAATAAATGTATTCAAATTATAGGTGTTTTAAATTAGAAACATGCATCTGTGAGGAAGGTTGTTGGGATATTGACCAGTGTGCTTTTGCTTCTTTTATAGACAAATGCAATGAACCTAAAAACAACTATTCATTTGTACTGGCAGGTGTAAATGTATAGCGGGAAGGGGTTTATTGACAATAATGATACCACACTTTTCCATGCAAATCTTCAGCACTGCAGACAAGCAAAAACAAAATTTTATCTCTCTCTCTTTCTTTCCATTCTACTTGTGGGATCCGGGTTAGAATAGGTCCTCAGTACCCCCTTGCTTGTTGTAAAAGGCGACTAAATGGGGCGGTCCTTCGGATGAGACCGTATAAACCGAGGCCCCGTGTCACAGCAGGTGTGGCACGATAAAGATCCCTCTCTGCTCAAAGGCCGTAAGTTCCGAGCATAGGCCTAAATTTGCAGCCCTTCACCGGCAATGGTGACGTCTCCATATCAGTGAAATATTCTGGAGAGGGACGTTAAACAGTATTCAATCAATCAATATTTACATCCTACAATAAATAAGATTGTTTCTGCAAGTCCACAGTAATACAATAATAAACATACGAAGTAAACACTCAACCCTATTCCCGCCCTTCCTCTCTTGACAAACACATACACTTCTAATTTGTTAACCAATGTATACAGGGCGTCCCAAAACATATGTTACACTTTTAATCATCTATAACTTTATCAAACCACAAACATTCACAAAGTTATTTCGTCAACATCTATTGTATCAGCATACATTTTATCTTACAAACTTTCATGAAATTCCGTTGGAAATTCAAGTAATTATGATGTCAAAATGACGTTATCATATTTTAATATGGAACCTTCATGAGAACGGCTGATGGAAATTCTCAAACTTTAAAATGGGTGTAAATCTGCTACTTTAGTCATTAGAAACCATGAGAAAACAGCATCCTGTAATGAAAGTGCCCAACAGAATGCTAATTTACAGATTTCTGAGGAAGTTTGAAGTTACAGGCACCGTAAATGACTCATGACTTAATTCTGGAATCAGAAGACCAGGAGTGCCGGTACCAAAGAGAACATTAGTACCATTGATAGAGTTAATACTCTACTGAAACTTTATTTTAAAAAATCCCTAAGACGGGCCCTGTGTGAACAAGATAGCACCTTTGGTAAATCCTACAATACTAAAATTCAATTTGAAACTGATTTCTCTTAAGATAATTTTAATGCAGCATTTTTGAAAGAGACAGAAATTACAGGTTGTTTAGAGTTTGCCCATGGGATTTTAATTAGACCCGATTCTGGAAATTTCTGAAAATTTAACAGATGCATCGTTTTTCGATGAAGCCCACATCCATTTTAGCTATGTTGTTAAAGAGAATCTTTAATTCTAGTGTTTGTTGAAACTCAATTTTAATGTGGAAAAACCTCTAAACTGTAAGAATGTTACCTTTAAAACTTGGTTAAGAAAAACCCTTCAGAAATCGTTTTCCATGTTAATCCAAAGGGACGTAATTTGGAATATGCTGTAAAATGACCTATGTTATTCTAAAGAAATAATATATATGATAAATGAAGAAACTGTAAAAATTATATGCTTGACAAAAAAATTATAATAATTTTAGTATAGTTTCCAAATTTCATTAATGTAACTTGAGGCATTAATTTTTTATATCGGTTTAAAAGTGTAACATACGTTTTGGGACACCCTGTACATGCTGAACATACACATCAAGAGCTTCTAATGAACCTATGGTAAATCTTTGGAAATTAAATTTGTGCTATTGGTTAGAAATTTAATAAAACTATGAAAAATATGCAAATCAAAGTTAAATTAATTCTGTATAATTAAGTACAGTGTTTTCAATCAACCTAAAACAAGGGTAAGAAAAACGATACATTTAGATGTATTTATGTCGGAAAAAGCCCTAACGTTGGTCTTATTGTTTTAGGTCTAAATATTTTTAAAGCGTGTTTCCCATGTTGGTTATTATATTTGAATCAATTTTATGATATTTTTTGTTAAATGCAAACAAAAAATCATATTCTGTTGTTTTTTTTTACATATTATTTTATTACATTTTGCGTTGTCTTTATTGCAGAAATAAAATAACGCAAAATGTAACAACAAAAAAGCATGTTATTACATTTTGCGTTGATCTCGACGCAAAATGTAATAACGCAAAATGTTATAATCTAAAAATCGTGTTATTACATTTTGCGTTATTACATTTTGCGTTGATCTCGACGCAAAATGTAATAACGCAAAATGTAATAATACAGGTTTATTACATTTTGCGTTGTTATTACATTTCGCGTTGTAACATAGCTGGTAACTTTAAATTCCCTTCCCCCCTTTTTTCAATTTAAATTTGAGGGCTGTTCGAAATGTTTGTGGACTGATGCGATAAAAATGTAATACTATATAGTCTATGCTTACAAAATTTTTAAGGAACATCAAACAAAAATAAGTTTAAGAAATTTTGGAAATTTTAACTCGATACCTTGAATAACTAACAAATTTTCCTAAAATAAAAAATACATAATATGAGCACCCGGTGCCCCGGCGCTGTCACTTTGTAGTTTCATGACGTCATTGTTTCTACCTCATACACTCATCTTGATGAGACTCCTTGGAGTTAATCAAAATGTTAAACAAGTCTTGTTTTTTCGATTGTACTATTTTATAAAGAGCTGATTTCAATGCATATAATATTGTATATAGATATATACATAATGAAAGATCCTCACTTGATGTGAACACAGCATGTTTTGCTTTTCGGACCTCACCATCTATCACACCTTATCAACGTCACTTTTCGACGTGACATTCTTTGAACTCCCTTACTACAAATCGACGTTAATATTCACATGTCTTGTTTCTCTTATCTTTTTTGGGCAATTAAAAACGTGTACTTTGGATGCATTTTATTTTTCAGTAGCCCTTTTAAATATTTTCTAGATCTATGGCTGTTGTTCAGGAGATGAAACTTCATTGAATGTTGGAAAAAGAAATCCACCCCATTCCTGACGTCACTAGAATCTCTTAATTGTTTCGAAATTTCATAAAAAAAATTGCTATAAAATCTATAGAGACAAAAAGTGTTTTTAAAACACTGATGCCCCCGTATGCCAACATAGCAAAGATTAAGCTTTTTTTAAATGCAAATTTAATAATTTGGTACCAAAAGTAGGGTATTCTCACTGGAAAACAATTGTGAAATTTGAAAGTAAGCTAATGTTAAAGTTTTTCAATAAATACCCAAATCTCCAAGGTCAAGGTCAAAAGGTCAATGTAATTAGTATCAAATGAAAGGTCTTGCCATATAAAATACTTATGTAGAGCATGAAAGCCCTAGCTCTAACCGTTCAGAAGTAATGGACAACGATCAATTTCTTCAAAAGTAGGTCAAACGCCAAGGTCAAGGTCAAAGTGTCAAAGTTATTATTATCAAATGAAAGGTCTTGTCATAAGGATCAAATACATAAAGTATGAAAGAACTAGACCTTACTCTTTAAAAGTAATGGTCAGGGTTTCCTTTTTAAAGTAGGTCGGTCTCAAAGGTCAAGGTCAAAGGATCAAGGTTCTTGGTATCCAATGAAGGGTCCTCTCACAATAACATATATGAAGTATGAAAGCCCTATCCCTTACAGTTCATAAGTTATGGCCAAGGTTAGAATTTTTTCAAATGTACCGAAATCTACAAGGTCAAGGTCAAGGGTCAAAGTTGTTGGTATCCAGTGAAAGGTCTTTTAACAAACATTACATATGTGAAGTTTGAATGTACTAGTTCCCACTGTTCAAAAGATATGGCCAAAGTAAAATTTTAAAATTTTCATGTAAAAGTGGGTCAAACTCCAAGGTCAAGGTCAAAAGGTCAAATTTGGTGGTACCCAAAGAAAGGTCTTGTCACAAGAAATACACATAAGAAATATGAAAGTCATAGCTCTACTAAATCAAAAGTTTTGGGCAAGGTTAAAGATTTTAGCGGACAAACAGACAAACAGAGAGACAGACAGACAGACAAATACTATATACCCCGTATACTTCGTTTACGGGGGAATAAAAATATAGAATGGGGTAAATTTTTTGTTTCACGTGAGTGATTTACTCAATTTTGATAGCATAGTTTTTAAACACACCAGAATTTGACCAGATACATGTTTAAAAAGTAATGATCCAACAAAAACTAGAAATATAATGAGAAGAGAGAATGGAGAGAACGATCATAGGCATTTATGCTTTCTGTTCAATCCATTTCTATATATGAATAAAATGTATTTTAAACTAACTAAATATAATGAGAAGTAAGAATATTTTGAATGCATTTGCTGCAATATAGAAAAACACTATATACGTAATACATATATGTACAGCAAAAGTCGTTTGGTTATGCATGCACATAGGTCGAGAAAACGCGTCTAATGCAGTGATAAACATATTAACCTGAATACTGGTATCGTTATAGGGATGTGCACATGTCGAAAGAAATATACTATTTTACTTTTATTGAAATGTGCATCTCAGAAGTCATGTAATATAATGATAACTCAGCAGTAAAAAGTTGTCACTGCATAGCATTTAGACACACGTGTGATTTTATACCCATTATTGAGCTATCGGAGGGTTACAGCAGAGAGAGAGAGAGAGAGAGAGAGAGAGAGAGAAAGAGAGAGAGAGGAGTTCAATGTGCAAAGGAGTGAATATTAGGAAATAAAGAATACTTTATAATTACTTTTTCCCCTCATTCTTCGATCAAAACTAGTTCGGAATTGAAACATACATGTATTTTGATTTTTTTCTAATTTCCTAATCATTCAAATTCAAATTATGAGTAGCAAAATATATTAATCGAACGTTACTGGGCCTAAAAGTATAATACTACCGAAATTTTCTCAGATTCAGCTGAATTTTTCAAATATACAATGCGTGTTCCAGATATACCTTCAATGGTGTCATCACAATTCACAGTGGAATAGACTCCCCTGAAGCAATTGCTTGTCGAATCCTGCTTAACCCAATATGGAGAGAAAAATCCTACCGCCTGCAAAATAACGCTTGGCATTAACAAACATCCCACACAAGCAGCTGCTGCAACTCGTCGACAATTCATGTCATATGTAGGTTTTGAAGATGAACGGTAAAAGGAGGCTGTTTGTATGTTCTCTACTTTTAGCTTCAAGTAAAATTAAACTGATTTAAATCACTACTCTTTGTGTTATCCTGATACAGGATTGCCCTTGCACCTTACACCATGAAGATTAACCAATCAGAATAGGTAAACAGAGATATTTTCTTCCCGGTTTTAATATGATAGAAGAATCTTACAATGATTATTTTTATTTTGATAACCATCTATGATCCTTTTAACGTTAAGATTTGACAGTGATATTTTAAATCTTATGACTCCGAATAGATGCTACTTTTAACGTAAAATTAGCAATAGAAAAATAATAAAAGTCTGCAAACAGATCCAAATACAAAATGTACTTTAATATTACAAGCTTTACAAACTTGTTAATCAAACAAGTGTTTAATATGTTATGTACTTCTGTTATTTTTGCGTCCTGAAATACCATGTGTAAACGGTTGCAATAATTCTTAAAATGTTTACATTTTCATTATTTTAAAAAGAAACAGAAGAAGGAAAAACAAGCAAATTCAAGGAATTGTGGTCCCCCGATTTCGGTGTCTTTTTGGGTGATATGTCATTTTTTCTGACATATTTTGCGTAATATGAAAATCCTATCACATGTTATTTATTTAGAAATCATCACTGAAATCCGAGGTCAAGGTCAAAGGGTAAAAGTTTTTGGTATTTAATGAAAGGTCTTCTCACAAGGATTACGTATGTAAAGTATGAAAGCCCTAGCCCTTACCATTCAAAAGTTATGGCCAAGGTTAACGTTTTTTATAAGTACGAAAAATTTCCAAGGTCAAAAGGTCAAGGTTGTTGGTATCTAATGAAAGGTCTTTTCGCAAAAATATATATGTGAAATATGAAAGTCCTAGTATCTACCATTCAAAAGTTATGGCCAGAGTAAAAGTTTGGAATTTCTGTGTAAAAGGGGTCAAACTCCAAGGTCAAGGTCAATATGTCAAAATCGGTGGTACCCAAAGAAAGGACTTGCAAAAAAGAATACATATGTGAAAAATGAAAGTCCTAGCATCGGCAGTTCAAAAGTTGTGACCAAGGTCAAAGTCCTTGAAAAAAGGTATTACTCAAAGGTCAAGGTCAAAGGGTCAAAGTTCATGATGTCTAATGAAAGGTCTTCTTACAAGGATTACATATGTGAGGTATGAAAGCTCTAGCCCTTACCGTTCAAAAGTGATGGTCAAGGTTAAAGATTTTTATAAGTACGGAAATCTCCATGGTCAAGGTCGATAGGTCAAAATTGTTGGTATCCAATGAAAAGGTCTTGCCACAAAAAATATATATGTGAAATATGAAAGTCCTAGTTTATACCATTCAAAAGATATGACCAAAGTAAAAGTTAGGGGTTTTTGTGTAAAAGGGGGTCAAACTCCAAGGTCAAGGTCAAAAGGTCAAACTTGGTGGTACCCAAAAAAAGGTCTTGTCACAAGGAATACACTTGTGAAATATGAGCTCAGCTAAATCAAAAGTTATGGGCAAGGTTAAAGTTTTTGTGACGGACTGACAGACGGACAGCTAGACAGACTGACGGACAGACGAATGAAATTTAATATCCCCTCGCTTTCGCGAAAGCGGGGGACAATTTTTAAGCACTCGTTGTGGTAATTCACGGCGAGAATTATAGTTCAGTAGAGACTACTATTTCTCCAAAGTCAACAAATATCTGTTAGAAAAAATGTCTAAAACATATACATGTATCCGTTTCAGTGAAAATCCTTTGTTTACCCGATATAGCTAATGATAATGCATGTATTGCGCACAGCACCACAAAAAATTGACCAATTAATGAATAAAGAGCAGCGAACGATGGCTTACTACGTTTTCATTCTGATTCGAACACTGGGTTCATGTTAGTTAACAATGCAATATTTAATACACTTCGCAAAAAAAATAAATGAATTTTTTTTTGATTTGAATATAAAAATTTAAAGCTTAAAAACTGTAAAGAATGTACTGGTCACGCTCTCAATGAAAAAGATTTCTTTTACCTCGTTATACCGTATAGCGGGTTTACTTGGCGGGTGTAAAATTTTGCGTTTTGACTGCATGTATAAAGGTATACTAATACTTTTGGCGTAATTTATTTTAGCAGAGGCAGGGTTTAAGCTCTTTGGAGATGGACACTTAAAAGAGTACTGTCCATTTTAGCGATTACAATTTTAGCGGACTATCACAAAAAGCCAAATTTAGCACCCGCTAAAAATAATCCGCTATACAGTATAACTGATATTTCTGTGTTCGCCAATTATCGTTGTGTAACGTGTTTATCTAAACATATCTTAACCAAGGTTTTTTTTTATTTCTGATTTTCCTTGTACTCTGAGTAAAATGATTAGGCAAAATGCAATAATTATTTCCCTTCACTCTTCTTGCGGTTAATATGAATCTGTATATATAATTGATTTAATTATTAATTAAGTATCAATTAAAATATCAGGGGTTTTACCAGTAGCCCGTCACTGCATATTTTCAGAATAAGGGTTCTTATTAATAAAGAGAGCCAGGCGCCTCGATCTAAGAAGTTCTGTCACCTCCTGATTCCCAAATTAATTCTCCAAATACCACAACCGCTGGTGAGCAAATTCCAATTCTACCCTACCCTTAAGTATGGCTTTTGTCTTGTGACTTTTCTAAGCAAACTTCAGATGAATTTCACTTCAGCTGCCAGCTGCACTTATATACCATTAGAAAAATATATAGGTTTGAAGATTATTCCATTTCATGGAAGTGTTTTATTACGTTTCTATGGTGGCATATTTCTGTCCCTACATGCAAGATGAATTATGTCAATATGCAAGATAATTATGTCAACATTCAAGATAATTTGATCTACATGCAAGATAGTTATGTTGACGTGCAAGTTACAACTTGAGAATTCTGAAACGGTTACAATCCCGTTCTGATGCCCTTATCTGACATCCTAGATGCACAGCATAATCACGTAGACATGTGTCTTATTTATGTCAACATGCGACTTATAAAGGTCAACATGCAATATATTTATGTCAATATGTGGATTAATTATGTAGGCATGCAAATTATTTATGTTAACATACAGGATAATTATGTTTACATGCTTTTTATTTATGTCAACATGCGATTTATTAATGTCAACATGCAAGTTTAGTTATACAAACAAGATATTTATGTCAACATGCAAGAGTTGCATAGCAACATACATATCGTCCATGTTGACATAATCACTTTGCATGTTGACATTAATAAATTGCATGTCTACATAATTATCTTGTATGTTGACAAATAGATTCTCTGGGCAAGAATTTTACCCATACTCTTATAAGGTATCTTATTTATTCAGTATTACCCTCTACAGTGAAGTCGCCAATTCCGGGTCACGTCAGGGTGTTTCGTTGATTTTGCAAATCTGTTCAAATTATATTTTATGCAATATATGTATTGAAAGAACAAACAGTGAGTCATTCAAACACCTTTTCGTTTTCAAAGTAGCTACACGGGAACAATATTTACATTGGTATTTCAGCAAAGCCTAGCTTCCCCAGTTACGAATCATTTTCTCCATTTCCGGGTCATGTGACTTCACGGTCGTGTAATATTCATGGAACGTTTCGGAACACAATTTTTATGATATTGAAACATAAAACAATTCATGCAGCTTTGAAAAAAAGTAAAACAATCACAGAAATATGTTTAGATTATTTTTAAAACAATTACAACAAAACAAATTGCAGTATGCAGAATGTAAAAAAAAATGTATTAGGATTAAAAATAAAACAATTAAATTCATTTATTCAAAAGATGCATTTGAAGGGTTAATTCTATTTTAATTTTTAGAAAAATATTTTCCAGTTAGAATACTTTTGATAATCAAGGTAAATACATGGTTGTCGATTGGTTTTGTACATAGAATTGTGAGATGTTCATGCCACGAGATTGCGTGACCCGCAATTGGAGAAACTACTACAGTTTGATTTAATAATCATTATAATTTTATTTGAGTAGCTATCATTATGATTGATTTCTGAGTTAAAACTAAATGCATTTGCCATACTTTCGAGCTCTTATTATTTATCTAGAACTTTTATATCAGCCTTTCTGCAGCGAACAAAAACGAAAGTAGCCCGTCACCGCAGCAGAAACATCCAAGTCCTTAATGAGTGCGTTTCAGAATTTCGATTGTCGGACGCTCTCTTAAAGTTGATATTCAAAATTTTGTAATTAATTACAGAGTTCTTCACGACCAGCGTATTCATTAAGTTTTTTGCGCTTAAATTTTAACACTAGGCATAAAATACACGCGAGTGACCCGGAATAGGAGACGACCCGGAATTGGCGACTACACCGTATCTTTATTTTTATCATCTTAAATTAAGATACGAATTGGTATATTCTATTGACTGGCTAACTTTGAGCTTGACACTGTGTTCTTTGTCAAAGGTTCCTACTGATAGCGGATTCTACAACTTTCTTCAGATTAACATGAAAGTCCTGGGTGTTATGTTACACCTGTAACGTAACCGTCTGCCTTCGGCATCGAGTGACGTAACACTCCAGGGTTTGCCTTTCACCTTTGGGCAAATATTCCGGTATGTCACCTACGAAGCCATGTGATTTATGTATATCACAGGGCTGTGAGGGTCACATACCAGAATATTTGCCCAAAGGTGACAGGAAAGCCGTGAAGTGCATTCGACATCGGGTGACATTACACTACAGGGATTTCCTGTCACTGAGGGCCAAGTATTCTGGTAAAGTCACCCGAGAAGTTGTGTGATATGTGTTACATAACATTTTTAAAATTAAAACAATCGTATTAAATCGGTAAAGTTTACACGAATAATAAAAAAAATGCTTTAATGACGCTAAGAATTTGTTTACATTTGCTTAGTAACGGACGTCCTAAAATTTCAAACCCGAGCTAAAATGCGTGACTTCATCCAAAAATTAATCAAGATCTATACAGAAGGTCTGTTAAATTATCATACTAGTTTAAATCAAAGTACTGAAAGTACTGAAAAGCGGTTAGCATGCTTTCATCGAATATGTACA